AACCCCAGTCCTCTGGAAGGGCAATTATCACTGCCATATGAATTTATGCACCTTAATAATTAAGATAGTCTTAGTTTAGTGAACAAAAAGTGTACTTGTGAATGATGCACTATTTCTGAATAAGGGTCCCCCTAAATACCACACTTGTGAGTAAAAAAATGTCTGTAAGTGCCCTCTTACATTGAAGTATTGTCAGATACTTCAGGATAGACAGCCTGCCTTACCATCTTTCTTCACTTATTGCTGAATCAAACTTTGGCTACTTGATCGTAACAGTGCTGTTTTACTCCATGAAGTGACAGTTGCTTCTAGCTACAGGAGGGGGTAGGGGAATGCAACTTGAGCCAATATCCTACACAGTAGCCTCCAAAATGCAATTTTAGACTTGAAATCCATCTTTGGCTGATGTGTTATCACTGGGGAATAAGCAAACTGAAAGTTCTAAATGAAGGGAAACATGCACAAAATTTCAGTTGTGGGGCTCCCACCAGAAAAGACCACTCAGACACAGTCTATTGAAAATCTGTATTCCAGCCGGCTGTTAACTACACCTAGGTATTCAGGACTTACTTATAGTCCTGAGTGTGGTGATATTTTATGTGTGCATCCCAACAAAGCATTTCTGGGGATCAGAGGAAAAAGCCAGCCACTATATTAAACATAGAGGTCGGGCAGTGATAGCACACGCCTTTAATCCTAGCATTCAGGAGGCAGAGATCCCTCTGGATCTCTGGTGAGTTCAAGGCCACACTGGGAACAGAGCCAGGTGTGGTTTCACAGGCCTTTAATCCCGGTGCTAGTTAACCATAGAGGTCTGGAGGTCTGTACAAACAGACAGGAAGTGATAGAGCTGGGTGGAAAGAGGAGGTGATGTAGCTGGGCAGAGAAAGGAAGTAAGATGGCAGAGCATAGGAAGGTATATAAGGCATGAGTATACAGGAAGTAACTCTCTTTTGGGCTGAGGATTTCCTAGCAGCAAGAACTTGTGGCTTGGCTTGTTCTATTTCTCTGATCTCTCAGTTTTCACCCTACTATCTGACTCTGGGTTTTTTGTTTTTTTTTTTTACTGATAAGACCATTTAGCAATTCGTCTTATACCTGAGCCTTTCTCAGGACCCTTATTTAAGAAGAAAAAAAAATCCTGGCTGGAAAGTTGTGGTGGTTGAAAGTAAATGCCCCCATACGCTCATAGGGAGTGGCGCTATTCAGAGGTGTGGCCTTGTTGGAGGAAGTGTGTCACCGGGGACAGGTTTTGAGGTTTCAGATGCTCAAGCCAGGCCCAGTGTGGCATTCTCTTCCTGCTGCCTGCCCGTCCATATGTAGAACTTACAACTCCTTCTCCAGCACCAGGTCTGCCTGTGGGCTACCATACTCCCACCGTGACAATAATGGACTAAACCTCTGAACTGTAAGCCACCCTTAATTAAATGTCCTTCTTAAGAGTTGCCATGGTCATGGTGTCTCATCACAACAATAGAACCCTAACTAAGGCAGCAGTCTTCAAGGTTCCCTTCTCAGCTGCAAGCTAAGAGACAATCACAAAAGCCAAAATGTGCAATTAGCAAAAAATAGCAAGGTCAGGTTGACCATTGCAAAGAACCAGTACCCGTGAGTTGTTTTTCTTCACAGAATTGTTTTACTTAGGTTCCCTCTTCCAGGTACTGGCACTCAGCAAGACAAAATTCATCCAAGGTACCATTACAGAGTCACCATAGGCAACCTATAGCCCTTGTCACAAAAAAGGATTAGCAAGTATTTTACTGAAAATATTGAAGTTATGGTGAGGGGGACAAATCTTTCTGCTTTTCTGGAGCTGTTCCAATTCTGGCCCTGAGCATCTCAAATAAACATTAATTGCTGGTCGTTTAGAAAGTTGCACCATATAACCCAAAGGGAAATATATATATATATATATATATATATATATATATATATATATATCTGACTCTTAAAATGTGATTCCCCGCCCCCAGACCAGCAACACTAGCAGCACCCAAGAACCTGTAACAAATCTGAGTCATCAAGCCAGTGCCTTGGAACTCACGAAGCAGAAGGTCAAGAATTGAACAAAATGCTAAGAGTTAGCCATTCACTTAATAATCACATATGGGGCTGTGGAGACCGTTTGATACGTAAAATGCTAAGCATGAAGACTTGAGTTCAGATAACAACAGCTGGAAAAAAAAAAAGCCAGGCATGGTGGCCCATGCCTGTAATTTTAACAAAATGATCCTGAGGCTTCACTAGTCAGCCAGTTTAGCAAAATTGGTAAGCTCTAGATCAGTGGTTCTCAACCTGGGGGTTGAAAAACCCTTTCACAGGGGTCACATGAGACCATTAAAAATACAGATATTTACATTACCATTCATACAAGTAGCAAAATTACAGTTATGAAGCAGCGATGAAAATAATTTTATGGTTGGGGCTCAGCACCACATGAAGCATTGCACTAAATGATCACAGCATTAGGAAGGTTGAGAACCACTGCTCTAGATCAGTTTTGGGACCTTGTCTCAAAAAATTAAGGTGGAGAGCAATAGAGAGCAGTATGACGTCATCAATGCCTGGCCTCCACAAGCAGACACACGAGTGTGCATACACACCTGTGTCCAGTGACACATGCACGGGAATACAACACTCCACACACAAGTCAAGTGTGACTGTCTTAGATGGCATGTGGATTTCCACAGCAGTGCTTGTTTTCTGATGTCCTTGCTTTTCTGATGTCCACGATGCCTTGTTTCCTCTGATAGTCTCGTTCATGTTTGTTCCTGTCCCTTCGCGTGGAGGGTTCTTTGTCTTTGGGCTCTCCCCTACCACAAAATAAAACATTGCCAATGCACTTTCTTACTCAGCAAGAAGTGAGAGAGTTGGACTTCAAATACAGTTTAGTATGTTTGACCATATAGGTTCATATTTGGATATATTTTTTTTTCTCTTGGAAGATTTCTATGTGGAAAGAAAGTGCTTTCTCATACTTTTGCTGCCTATAGATGAGGAACATTCACAAAACAGAAACTTCACGAAGTTTTGGGGCTTTGAGCATTTAATTGACATAAAGCTTGAGTGTATCACAAACTGGTTATTAAATGAGTCTGACAGCCACAGTGGTCAAGTTTCAGAATCATTTAAACACCAACGTGAGAAATGAGATGTGACAATGACCTAATCGGAATGTATACACAACTTACATTTTAACAGACACTGTGATAGAGTCTAACTTGAAAAATCTCAGAGTTGGAACTGAGTTCCACCATTCAAATTTAAAATCTGAAAAGCTAGGTTTCAGCCAAACTGATGTACGAGTTGAGGTGGGGTAGGCAGACTTGTCCCTTTGGTTTTAGAAGCAGAAGACCTATGGGGGTGTTTTTAAATCTAGTGATTGGTACCTGGTGCGGGTTAAAAGATTGGAACACATTTAGAAGATTATTCTTTAGCTGTTTTCATGCTTTGGATTTAGTAGAAGCAGATATAACATGCGTTTCATTAATAAAATTTAGGTTCAGATACCTAGTGCCAATTTCCTTTCACAGGCAGACCCACACTAGAGGAGTTCCCTGATCTGTGGCTCCTGTCCTCTCCTTCCTGTTTGCTTTATATTCTTTCTCTGAATAAGGTGGCAGACCACATCAAATAATTTACATTTATTTAACGTAATAAAATGAAACACTCTACTGTTTATTACTGTCTCAAAATGGTAGTTTCTGTAATTATCAAGTTTCAGATTAATTCCAGGTTTGAGAAAGGTCTAGGGCATTAAATGGTTGCGATAGCACTTGCTTCCACCAGAGGGCGATGACAACCTCTGTGGAATCAGGACCAGTTTATTGCCTTTCCAGGTATGTAGGAGTCCTCCATGCCGATGGGCTATCAGATAGTTGCCTAATAAGGCTGCCATTCAGAGTGGCTGTGTTTATTAGCTTTTGAAGTTCATAATTATCATTAACAATAATTCCTCTTATATATTTTTTTTTGTTTTCTATGTTATGGTCTCTAAAAGTCTATAAGCAGACCAGAAATTTTGGAAGCAGGAGAAAGATTGGACAGTCTGACAGAGAGGCAAGTTTGCATGGATGTGATTGGCAGCCTGCCCCTGGGGATGAATAGAGAACACTGGATATTTTCCTGGACCCATCAGTCACATGAAGTAAAATCCTTATCTCTGGGGAAGGTGAGTTTCCATCTTAGGGCTCAGGCAGAGATCCTGTAGGAGGGAGAAAGAAGGGAAAAGTGCCTGACCTTTATGGTTGGAGTGCCAAGAAGGCTTTAGGCCAGGATTTCCCAGGGGTCTGTGCTTCTGCTGGAAGCAGGAAATACTGCAGGATCTGGAGCTGCCTCAGCCTCTAGAGCAAGTCAGAGCATCCTAACAATGGGAGCTGAACGGTGGGAAAGAAAGCCTGCATCCCTCAGACATGCGAGGCTGATTATCACCGAAGAGGGACCATGTGATGCAAGTTCATGTCCTCTCCAACCATGAGTGCAGCATGCAACACCCAGTGATAAGTAGAGCAGTGTGTGTGTGTGTGGGGGGGGCTTCCTCCAGACTTGGAAGAACAGGTGAAGAGGGGCACCCATCATATAAAGGAAAGGCAAATCACAGATATCCACTTTTTGTCTTGGTTTTTCGAGACAATGTTTCTCGGTGTAGCCCTGGCTGTCCTGGAACTCGCTCTGTAGAGATCGGCCTGCCTCTTCCTCCCCAGTTCTAGGATTAAAGGTGTACGCCACCACTGCCTGGAAAACCTCTTTTTAAAACCCAGTTATGCACTTTGATTATATAGCCAAAGCACACACTTAGGTTATAGAATATATTCCAACATCATAGTAGTGTTCTCATAAATGTGTGCACTTTCTAGTTCAGATATTGGCAGGGGGATTGGGAGATGATTGCAGTAATTTATACTTCTTTAAGCAGTGTGTGTGTCAGGGGTTTCCCTCGTCAACACCTAATGCTGCTGATTTTTCTTACACTCTAGTGCATAGGTAATGACACTGTGTTTGGTTTTAATTTGCTTTCTCTGATGATGGTTGAAATGTTGTGGCTCATTTGAATATGCTCTCTTTTAAGATGCCTTTTTAAATTCGCTGGTCCCCCCCCCCTTTTTTTTTACAGTGGACAATTTTGATGGCAATTATAATGATTCTGAAAAGCCATGCAAATGTTTGGGTAGTGATTGGACAATATCGCTGCTGTGTGAAGTACCAGTATCCTAACAGGAACAGGAGTTGCTTGTTTCTGGGCTGGAAAGCCTTCACAACATGAGGAGCCAAGCTCTAACATCAGTGGGGGGATATTATGAAGTCTATCTGCTTGCTTCTTTTATACTCCTACATGTTTTTGCGTGTATGTATTTGAAAACATCGCCCAAGAAGTTTACAAAAAAAATAAAAAAGGATTTCACTAAATATTGAAAAAGAATAATTCACACATCATTATTCAAGAATGAAAGCGAGACATGTTGATTTTCAAACATGATAGTTATTACAGGTTCTATGTTGTCATCTAAAATGCTCTAAGTGGCTCCAGATTGGCAGGATGTTTCAAAATAATGATTTTATTTAAATGCAAGAGAATTTCAGCCAGTTGTCAGTTTCTGACTGAAAAGTCCAGCTGCTATCTGTCTTCTGACATCTCACCTGTACAGTTCTCATCATATCCATGACATGAGCCTTTGCTGGTACTTCTTTGGAATCTTTATTTCTCACTGTGTTTTCATGTGCTTTTGAACGTATTCAGGAAGACTTCTGAAGTCAGAACCTTGTACTTAAATGGTTAATATAAATTTTTAAAATTGGAATACTTTCCAGTGAGAGAATGTCAGAAGAACATTATGCGTAACTGAAGCTACACTATAGACTTTTATCTGCCCCCCTCATCCGTATGCATCTGAGATTGTCTAATACTGACAAAATCAAGATATACTAATGTGTAAAGTCAGAAGAATAGGCTTAGAGGTTTATGATGATCACAGCTGAGAAGAAGTAATCAACGATTGGTAAGAATAGTGTCACTTATTGAGAACAATTGCAAGTGTATTAGACTTAGTGTACCTTTGGAATTCAATTGCAAGTATGTTCTGTGCCTGGGGATTTAGCTCTGTGGCAGATTCTTGCTTTGTATGCACAAGGCCCTTGATGTTATTGCCTACATTTTAAAAAATGTGGCTGTGAACTGGTGCCAGTCTAGAACACTGTAGTATTGATTTGTGACCAGATGGAGATGAAGACCAAGACTGTATTGGTTTACTTCTCTGTTGATGGGATGAACACTTTAGCTAAATGGAATTTGAGGAGAAAGGGGTGTGTTTCACTTCTACATCCTGATCCCAGTCAATCATGGAGAAAATCAGGGCAGGAACTTGAGCAAGAACAGAGGTAGAGAACGTGGAGGAGTGTTTGCTAGCTTGCTCCCCATGGCTTGCTTAGCCTCCTTTCTTATAAAACCAAGGACCACCATTTCAATTTTAAAAATTTGTATTAACCATTTAAATACAAGGTTCTGATTTCAGAAGTCTTCCTGAATACTTTCAAAAGCACATGAAAATACAAACAGTGAGAAAAAAAGATTCCAAAGATGTACCAGCAGACTTGGTACTGCCCATAATGGACTGGCCTGACTCACATCAATCTTTAAACAAGAAAATGCCTCACAGATTTCCTTACAGCTCAAACTGATGGAGACAGTTCCTCAATTAAGATTCTTCCACAATGAATCCAACTTGAGTCAAGTTGAAAAAAACCAAACCAAACCAAACAAAACAAAAACAAACAACTACAAAACACCTCGCCATCAAAAGGAATGAGGATTTTGATCTCTCTATATAACAGAATGTCAGAGTAATTTTATGTCCCTGGGATCTAAGGTCCAAAAAGTGATCCTGTATTTCACGTATATTCTATTCTTCTTTCATTTCTCATTTGCAGTGATTCATTTAACTGCTTTTGAGATGATTTTCAGTATATGATTAGTTAGAAAATAGAGGAACATTTGTTCTTTTCTGTACATAGTTTGAGAAAAATTTAAAAAGCATTGTGATAAACAAAACTTTAGCTAAAAATTAAATTTTAGAAGTTTGACTTTATCCTATGCCCAGAAGACACTAAGCATGTTCGACCCGATGACTTAGGAGCTACATGACCATGCTACTACCTCTCAATATCGTTTAATCCAATGTTCAGTCTTCTGTCTTCACTCTCCCTTTTTTATGTGTTGAAAATCTAGTGTTTTGTGACTGTCTAAAATGTCACCTATGGGATGGGGAGACAGCACAGTGGAGGAAGTATTCCCAATGTATGAGGACCAGCACACAAATCCTTAGCACTATGTGAAGGCCACATATGGCAGTGCATGCCTCAGAGGGGAGAGACAGGGAGATCCTGGGGCTTGATGGCCTACCACTCTAGTTGAAATGGCAATCTCTAGATTGACTCCATCTCAACAACAAGGTTGGAAGTGACAGAGAAAGAATTCTGATGTCACCCCCCAGCCCCCCCTCACAGGTAACTTCACCCATAAATAGACATGCATACACATGCACCCATCATACATACAAAATAGAATGTTGCTTATCAGATAGCCTAAAATAAACTTTCTATTAAGCCCCACAATATTTCACTTTTCTCTTGAATACACGCTTAAGCATCTACTTCTTTCCTTATACAGACCCATCATTAGATTCTTCTCTACAGTGGAATAAATTTCTTATTATGTTCCTCAAACCAAAATAAATCTCAGTAGCCACATGAAGGTTGAATAAGCCAAAAATCTGCTTGTAAACAAAAAAAGTAACAGATAGGCAAATATGTCTAAAGTTGATTATGTGTGTGTATGGAACCATTATATTAAAACCCTTATTTTTCACAGTTAATATATACCAATAAAAGTTTTTCTTTTTCATGTATATATATATTCTTTTATTGAAAATAGATTTTTTTCATACAATATATTCTGATTACTGTTAACCTCCCCCAATTCCACCCAGTTCTTCTCCAATCCCCTTCCCACCCAGATCCAAACTATCTCTGTCTCTCATTAGAAAAAAAAATCTAAGTAATAACAATGAAATAAAAATAAAACAATAAAAGTTTTTAATCAAAGAGAAAGGGCACCTGTTTGTATATTGATCTTCTTTCTTTCTGCCCTCTGGAAGCTTGGGCATCACCCCTGTGCACATATTCTTATAAAGCGGATATGGTATTTGTGTTAGTTACTTTCTTGTCACTGGGACAAAATACCTGTTATAAACAACCTGACCGGGAATGTCTTGGCTTCTCATTTCAGAGAGTTCAGTCCATTGTCTCTTGGCTTTGAGCACTTGGTAGAACATCGTGTCAGAAAGAGCAGGAGGCAGAAAATATTTGTCACCTTGTTGGTGACAGAAAGCAAAGGAAAAGAACAGGATTCAGAATTCTACATGACCTGCAAAAGTACTTCTTGCAAGGATGTCCCGGCTCCTAAAGTTCCCAGAATCCCCTCAAATTGAGCTGCCTGATAGGGATCACGCGTTTAATACACCAGACTGTGAAACACATTTCACAAGCATAGAAAGATTCTTACAGAAAAAATGGCACGTTTTGCAATCAGCTCTTATGTTAGGATTTTGTTTTTGGGGGGAGAGAAAACAAAAAGGCCCAAATGGGCCTCCAGTGCAGTGGGTCCTCTGCATTCCCACTAGTCACGTAAACAGGAGTGCTACTACAGCAGAGAAACTGCATCATAGCTTAGTGTGGTAGCTCACACTGCCTATACGACACAGTAAGTCCACATATGTGTGAGCTATAGACTGAGGCAGACAGACAGACAGACACACACACAAACACACACACACACACACACACATCAATTAATCAATGACCTGTTTTGGAAAACTTATGGTTTATTTTTCAACTCTAAGTTTACGTTTATCATAGATTTATAGTTGTTGTTATTATTGTGGGTTCTTTAAAAAATAAATCATTTTACAGATCTGTAATTGATCCAAGTAAAATTTATTTATTTAGGTGTACATGGTCTGTGTACAATCCTTCATGGATGGAAGTGCAAGCCTCCCCCACAGTTTCTTCATGTACTAACCAAATCTGAATACTCAAAACAAGTTAAAATATGTGCCAAATGACTTGATAAAAATATTTTGATTCAACTAATCAACCACTTATCTCTTTTTTTTCCCATAAATGTAGCAAGCAACTTTATTGGAAATTGTAGATACTTTCCTTAATGGAGAAAGTTCACATCTGTACCCATATCTGGATTGATCTCTGTATTTGTTTTGTGTCAACATTCAATGGCCTTGGCCTAAACAACAGTGCTGAGACTAGGAGAATTTGGGGAGGTTATATTAATTTTCCACCATGGTTGTTCATAATAAATCTGTAATATGTTATTCTCTGTCCTTAGTTAAACGTTACTACTGCAAATAATGAGACTCAAGTGTGTGTCAAAGGCTCCGCAGACTCAGCCCCAGATGCTTCACTACCATGAGGATGTCTCTTTAGCCTGCATTCCAGATGGAAACTTATACAGGATCAAGTCACAGCAGCCGACATATGGGTCATGTTGCTTCTGCTGTAAAACCTGCTGGTGTTGTTGCAATTACCATGTTGCTACAATTACCATGTGCTCTAGTTTAGACATGAGTTGTTCTCAAACAAGTTCTGTCCAGGCTTCTAAACCAGTGGCAGTTCTGGGAGGTACATGCCATTGAGATGCATTAATGCATTTCTTGCTCTTTCGGTCTGGATGAGCCACTGTGAAAACTGGTGGCTATGAATTAAGCCTGGCGCCTTGTATCTGGCACACACACACTATTCCACACAATTTCCCCTTTATGATTTACAATCATAAGCAGAGCCATGGTGAGGCCCTCACAAGAACCTGAGTCTCTACACTTGGGCCTTCAGTACTATGAGTTTTAAAAAAGGCCCTTACTGTATAAAGTTCCTAGCCTTAGGCTTTTTTGCTTCAACGGTTACAAAATAAACTAACTTACCTTCTAAGGTAAGTTAGTAGTACGGTTCTAAACATGATAGAAATGACATGTTCTGTGTCAAATATACAAAAACTGTTATTAAATGAGTGTGTACATGGATAAATGATGAAAATAAACCAAGAGGGCCGTGAGATATAATGTCATCTGAGTTGTCCGGAGAGGAGAAAAATAGTTTAAAATCACTGGGTAACTGAGGAGATGGACTGGATGTTAGGGATGTGGGAATGTGATGTGAGAGTTGGCTTGACATGGTGCGATGCCTTTTGCCCAAGAATATGTAAATATTTCAGTCTATAAAATAGTCTGTTGGTGCATGAATAATGAGTCTTCTGTTTGACATGTCCCCAGTAAATATTTAATGAATTTCTGTTGATCTTAATATCACTTTAAATAACATTTCATGGAAAATGAGTGCTGCCTCATTAAAATAAGGAAGGAAACTAGAACAGAGGGCTCTCTATTAGAGATTGTAACAGGATTTTGATTAGCAAACGGATGATTTAAAAACTCCATGTTATTAAAGCAAGGTCACAGCACTACAAATTGACTTGCTTCATTTATTTTGAAGAATAAATTTTAGCTTTCATTATTTGTGACACTTTAAAGTATGACCAACAAATTTATTGCCTCGTTTGGAACATTTAATCAAATCTATGCTTTGAGAT